AGGATGTCGCGCAGCTTTCTGTGTCGATATGGGGGCCCGATGGTAGAATGGACCATTGTCTAACCTTGGACGTCGGTAGAGGGAAAGACGGCAGACGAAACCCGTTTATGAGCGGTGCTCAGAGGATCCCAAAGTTTGCCGCATGCGTGCAGACTTGCGACATGGCAACTTGCTGATTATGACGACGATGATGGTGATTCTGGTGAGGATAAATGTTTGCCAGCGTGGGTCCCAAACAGTGTGTTTCTAGCAATCGATGTTGTACAATCTGCGTGGTGCGATCTACGTGGTGCAATCTAGGTTGCGCAATGTAGGTTGTGCAAGATACGTGGTGCAATACAGGTGGTGCAGTCTACGTGTTGATAGCTATGTGGTGCAATCTATGTTGTGCAATCTACGTGGTGCAATCAATGTTGCGAATTTCGCTTGCCAAACTTGACGTTGCCAACTCCACTGCTAAGGCAATCATTTCACCCATCCACCCGCAACTTGGTTTGCAAAACCCATGCAGAAGCGATTATGGTGAGTGCTTGACGTTGGCTGGTCCATCTCTGCGGCCGCGCTAGCCCGCGCATGCTCGCGCGCGCAGCGGCCAGCTAGTTTGGCGCGACCGACGCGAACGCGGTGGCGCTGACCCCTCGGCACATCCCAGGAGGCACTTGAGTGCGAGTCAGCGACATGGACTGGCGTGGTATCATGGCAACGTCGACGACGGTAGACAATCTGATGATAGTAGCGATGCTGGTGACGATGCTGACAGCGACGACGGGGCAGCCAGTGACGGCGCCGATGCTGATCGCGCCGACGACGATGACGGCGTCTTCGCGTCGATGATGAAGGTCTTGTAAGGAATTCGAAATGCGCGCGCGGCAGACGCGCGAGAGTGACCCGCATGGTGTTATTTGACACGGATCGTGCCACCCCAGCGCGCGCGCAAGGGCGTTCGAACGATTTCGACATGCGCGCGAAACCCGTTTGGTAGCATTTTATGAAGATGTTGCACCCATGGCTTTCTTAAGGATTCGCAAGAGCACGCGCGCAAGACGCCATAAGAAGCTGCAGGCCGAGGAATTTGAGCTTGAGGAGCACTTCGATCGCATTTTGCAGAGCATTGAGACCAGGGAAACGGTGAGAGAGGAGGACATGGACTGCGAAACTGAGTAATCTGGTGACGACATCGACGAGGAGGGCGACCGTGCTGATACTGACAGTGCGAGCAGACGGTGGACTGCCAACTCAGCGAAAAGGACTTCCACGCCCCGTGGCATGTGGCGTGTGGATGTATTCACCACGCTCAAAGGCAAAAGGAATACAAGAAACACCAAATGGTGCCGACCAAACACCAGGCAGAAAAAACGACCGCGGCACGGCATCGCCTAGATCGTCAGCTTCGGGGGTGCAGGTGCAGGCGATCGCGGGGTACTTCTCCAAACAGCTGGATGAGCAGATGCGTGGGCGGGCTCAACTCATTAAGAGCCTTGCTAACATGATGGTTCTGAAACAAAACGAGATGAGCGCACAGCGCAATAACATACAGGACATGCAGGCCATGGTATGGGCTCAATATTCTTCTCGGGTGGATCCAGTCGTCTTCGGGCCGCCAGGTTGGAACATATCATTAGCATCGTGCCTTTCAGTTTTCTGGGGCCCCTTGCCCGCCGCAACCGGCAGCAGCACGTATGGCTTGGCACCACCATTAACTCAGATTGTTCAGCGTGTTGAGGAAAATCTGCGTGAGATGCAGAGGCAGGAGGAACACCAAGCTCAGGTTGGTCACCCGCCGTCGTCTTTCCCTTCTGGGCTCCCCTCCTGCCTCTGCCTTGGTTGCTCTTCCCCCCTCCCCCTCCTTCGGGGTCGTCCCCGCCGCGGGGATTGAGCCTTTTTGGCGCCTGGGGGTCTCTCTCCTGGCGCCGTGTCTGTGCAGCAATCGGGTTTCGCAGGCAACATTTGCTTCGCGCCGTGAGGGGGGATTCGGGATCCCCCCCTTAGCCTGAATCTACTATTCTGCCATTTTGGGATTCTGCCTCCTGTTCCTCCTCCACCTTCTCTTTTGTTTCTCCTCCTTCTCTTCCTCCTCCTTCCTTCCTCCTCTTCGGGAATTCTTTGCCCGATTACTTGTTGATTTAAGCGTCGGTGCGTACAGTGCATCGGCTTTACCTGTACTGCTCGGTCGGTACCAGTCGGTGCCTTATCGCGGCTTTTTTTCGGCCTGCCTGGGCGTGTCATTGACACTGGCCTTCTTGGTGGCGCGGCTTCCCACCAGGACTCACGGCATGGCTCGAGTAGGTTGGTTTCGTCCCCGCCTGTGCGTGTCTGCACGTGGTCTGCGTTCCGTCACCACCAATCCATGCTGTTTTAGCGTGAACGCCGCTGTTGTGGTGCTGTCGCGGCTGTAGGTCTAGCGCTCCACCCATGCTATTGCTCTTGCGTCGCCAGCTCGTAGGGTAGCACCCTACCCATCGCCTTCCTAGGCCATAGCGTTAGCGTTACCCCACCAATCGGCTGGTCTGGCATTTTTACATGTTGTAATTTGTACCGACGTTTCAGGTTGCCTGGCGTCGAGCTATCGTGCTCCTCGGGTTCTGGCCGTGCCATCGTCTGTCGGTGACTCTTGGCCCTGATCAGCACGAGACTGCTGTTGCGCTACAAATTACCCACGTCGAGCTTATAATCTGGGGACTTTTTTTGGCCGCTGCATCTTGACATTGCACCGCCACTCGTTCTCTATCACACCAGTTCATGCATGGCCATGTCTGGGCTGTTCCATCTTTGCGCGTTCGACTAAGTTTGTTCGCAATTGGCACCTCCACGTGCCGACCGCGCGTGCGGTTCCTTTGCGCCAGCGGCTCCAAAAGTGTGTGTGTGTGTGTGTGTCAGGCGGTCTCTGAAAAATCGGCCGGGCGCAAACACGCGCGTGCCGCTGGTTGCAGTCGACTTTCTACGCCACGTGTCCGTGCGCGGGGCCGCGACGCCAAAAAGTGTGTGTGTGTGTGTGTGTGTGTGTGTGTCCGTGTTTGGGCTAGTAGGTCTGAGTTTGCGTGGGTCGGAGGGTGAGTGAGTCCGAGTAGGGAATCTGATTCAGCAGAGTATGAGTGGGTCGAAGCATGAATGCGCCTGTGTGGGAGTGAGTCTGAGAGGGAACCTGAGTATGATTAGCTCTAAGGTTATGTGTGCTTGTGTCTGCGTGCGACTGATCTAGCCGCGAGCGAGCCTGAGCACGAACGGGTTCTAGTGTGGACGAGTCTGGGCATGAGCGGGTTTGAGTTGAATAGCCAAGTGGGTTGAACATGGACGGCATGATTGCGGGAGTGAGGTTGAGGCTGAGGCAGCGGTGTGACAGTAGAAATGAAACCAGGCTAAGTTCAGGACGTACGGAACAGAGGAGATTGTCCACAGGTGAGACTGCCAAATGCTTTTGGGATGTAGCGTGGAGGGAAATTAATCGGATGGTGATGATGAGGTTGATAATGACATTATACTGATGGTGATGATGATTCTACTGACGATGCTGTTGTTGATGATGCTGATGACGACGATTGTGATAATGATTGTAATGATGCTGATGTTGGTGGTGATGGTGATTATGATCATGATGGTGTTGGTGATGATCATGATGCGGTATTGGTCGTAATTCTGATGATGTTGCCGCTGCTGCTGCTGATGATGTTGATATTGATGCTGATTGTTATGATGAGGCTGATGATGATACGGATGCTGATGATGATGCTGTCGTTGATGATGATGGTTATGGCGACGACGACGATGGTGATAATGATGCTGATGCTGATGCTGATGCTGATGATGCTGATGATGATGGTGATGGTGATGATGCTGCTGCTGTTGTTGCTGATGATTGTGATGATGCTGACGATGATGATGATGATGATGATGATGATGATGATGATGATGACGATGATGATGATGATGATGATGATGATGATGATGATGATGATGATGATGATGATGATGATGATGATGATGATGATGCTGCTGATGATGATGATGATGATGGTGGTGGTCGTGGTGGTGATGGTGGTGGTGATGGCGGCGATGATGATATTGATGTTGATGGTGGTGGTAATGCCGGTGATGATGATGGTGATGATGATGATAATGAGATGATGATGATGGTGCTGATGATTGTGATGAATATTATTATAATGACGATCGTGAAGGCGATGATGATGATGATGCTGCTGCTGATGATGATGAAGATGATGATCATGATGTGGATGATGATGATGATGATGATGATGATGATGATGACGACGATGACGATGATGCTGATGCTGATGCTGATGCTGATGTTGATGATGACGATCATGATGATGGTGGTGGTGATGATGATCATGATGATGGTGGTGGTGGTGATGATGATGATGATGATGATGCCGCTGCTGCTGCTGCTGCTGCTGCTGCTGATGATGATGATGATGATGGTGGTGGTGGTGGTGGTGGTGGTGATAGTGCTGATGAGGAGGAGGAAGAGGAGGAGAAGGAGGAGAAGGAGAAGGAGGAGGAGGAGGGGGAGGAGGAATATGACGATGATGAGGATGATGAGGAGGTTGAGGAGGAGGAAGAATCAGACGAATAGGAGGAGGAGGAGGAGGAGGAGGAGGAGGAGGAGGAGGAGGAGGATGAGGAGGAGGAGTATAAGGCGGAACTTTCTGGGCAGGGCTGGCCGGTCTCGGGGTTGATAATGGAGCCGATAGCTGTCACTGGAGCCGCTGCTCTGCTTTCCCCTTTCGCGCCCGCTCGCTCGCTCCTCCACTGCCCGCCCCGCTTCCTTTCTTCTTTCCCAGACCTCCTCGCAATGCGGAAGAGAAAACACGACGGAAGGCTTTTGACAGTTTTTGGCCTCGGGGGCCTTCACTGGGCCCCAGGACCGTCTAAAACGGTCCGACCTGAAAAAATGTAGTCCCAGGGAAGGGGTCCAGACCTCCAGGGGTCCACGTTGCGAAGTGAACAAATTTCGACTTTGGAGGTCTCGGTCTTTACATAGCTATTGTGGTCCGAGCTGGTCGGCACGATGTCAGCCAGATGGTACTACCAGGTTGGGCCCGAAGCTTGGCTTCCTTTTCCAGACGATGCCTGCTCCGTTCTGGAAGACCGTTTCCTGGCCAGAGCAGCAGCCAACCAGCCCCAGAGCTTTCAACTGCAAAGTGGCAAGTACACTTACGACGTCTACTTGAGCGACATGTTGCAGATCAACACGTCTACTGGGAGGAGGCGTAGTTTGGACCGGCGAGAGAATCAGCAGCAGATGCAGCACAGCAACCAGCGTATCACGCAGCTCGAAGCCTCCTTGGAGCAATCTCGCAGACAAGAGGCGGAGCATCGAGACCAGAGGGACCAGCTGGCCAGCAGGGTCGCAGAGCTCCAGGAGTCCGAGGAGCGGCTGCGGGCAGGTCTGCAGAGGGAACAGCTGGCGTCGCAGGCCGCGAGTCAACGCCTGACCCAAGAGCAGACGGCGAGGGCGGATGTCACGAATGAGGTGCGCCGGCTGCGAGCAGACCTGGAGAGGTCGGATGAGGCAAAGGAACCGTTACCGCTAGGCTTCCCTCGTCGCCACGGCTGGATTCGCCTCGAAGTCCTGGTCAGAGCGGCCGTGCAGTAGCCGTATCGGTAGCTCTTTGCCTTCCCGAGAGGGAGCAGCAGGCGATGAAGGCCGCAGGTCGCCGCCTGGAGGAGGAGCAGGTGGCAAGGGCGGAGGCCACGAGGCAGGCCCGGGATGCCGCCGCGGAGATGGAACGGCTGCGGCAGGAGCGGGGGAGGAGGTGGGAGTTTCAGAGTCATCTGGGGACTTGGCAGCCGTACGACGCCGACTCCAACGCCGTTTTGGTCCGCCTCCATGCAGCCTGGATTGAGGAGGGCAGTCCCGACAGAGACTACGAGGTCACAGATCGATATCACGTGAACTTCGGCACAATGCAGCAGTGCAGCATGCGCTCAGGCATGCTCCGACCTGTTCGGCTTCAAGAGTACCATGGTGGTGCAGAGCGAGTGATTCCTGTCGCTTCGCGAGTTCACATGTGGAACGGCGGCTGGTCCGAGCGTCAGGGTCCCAGCGCGATAGCGCGGCACATTTGAAGCTGTGCATTATTGCTTCGCTGACTGTTGGGGGTAGCCTTTAGGTCCTCTCAGGGGCCTTTCGGGGTCCTGTTGGAAGCCAGTTCGGGGTCGCGTGGCTGTCTCGGGGAGTCTTGGGTTGTGGAAGACGACACATGGAGAGGAGACATGTAGCCAAATCATTTCTAGATGTTTTTTCCCAATCATCCTGAGGTGTTGGGTCTATGCTTTGAAGAGACAGCGCCCCGCGTTCCTCACTATTTCCTCCCCTTCCGCCCTCCCCTCCTCCTCCTCCTCCTCCTCCTCCTCCTCCTCCTCCTCCTCGCTACTCCCATCTCCTCCCGCGTCATACCCGTGTCGCTGCCTTCATGGCGGCATACTTCACACATGTTTCGTGGCCCCATGGGAAGCTCCACCGAAGGCCCCAGTGGCAGCGCCCGCATGCAGCTCCACCACCATTTCGGTGCACCCCTCACACGTTTCGTGACCCCATAGGGAGCCCCACCGAAGGCCTAGGGAACTCCACCGAAGGCCTCAGTGGTTGCGCCCGCATGCAGTTCCACCCTCTTTTCGGTGCACCTCTCACAAGTTTCGTGGCCCCATAGGGAGCTCCACCGAAGGCTCCAGGGGCAGCGCCCGCATGCGGTTCCACCCTCCACACCCTCCATTTTGGCAAACCCCTTCTATTTTTCGTGGCCGCAGCACCCGCATGCAGTTCCGCTTCCAGTAGGCACACCCCTCACACGTTTCGTGGCCCCACAGGGAGCTCCACCGACGGCCACAGTGGCAGCGCCCGCATGCAGTTCCAGCCTCCGTTTCGGCGCCCCCCGCATACGTTCCGTGGCCTCATAGAGAGCTCCGCCGAAGGCCCATCTTGTCCCATCTTGGAGGCCATCTTGGAGTATCGTAGGCCCTCTTGGGGCCATCTTGGGCCATCTTGGGCGCGCTGACCGATTGCGCCCGCCCGAAACAAAAAACCGGGCAGGGAGGGGGTTAGGTAAACCTTTCGGTCGGGGAGGAAGCGGTTTTCGGAAGAGGAGAAAGAAGAAAGAAGACCACCTTAGCCCAAAGGGCTGGTGGGATTATTGAGCAAAGGAAGTATGAACTCCTTAGTGCAAGCACCGTTTGGAACCCCTTGGTGCAAAGACAATAATATACACTCAGTGCCACTTCTTCATGCTTCGCATATCCCCACCTGCCCGTTCAGAGACGTTTTCCATGAGAGTTGACGGGAAAAAGGACGAAGAGACACAAGTAGTGAATCAAAGTGGGCAACCAGGATGACCGGAGATTTTTGGGAGCACGGGGTGGCTTAGAGGGCCTCTTCGGGCCATCCCCGCCTGGAGGAGGAGGAGGAGGAGGAGGACGAGGATGATGATGAGGAGGAGGAGGAGGAAGAGGAGGAGGAGGAGGAGGAGGAGGAGACACCGCTTCTCCTCGTGTGACGCTCTTGGGGCTCTCTTGGGCGCTCTTCGGGCCGTCTTTGGCCCCCCTTGGGGTCCTCTTGGGGCTCTCTTGGGGGCCTCTCGGGAGCCCTTCAAGGCTTCTTGGGGTCATCTCCCCCTGGGGCCATCAACATCGCATTTGGGGCCCTTTTGGGGCGCTCTTGGGCCGCTCTTGGGCGCTCTTGGGGCTATCTGGGAGGCCTCTTGGGCCTCTCTTGGGCCTCTCTTCAGCCATCTTGGGGCCATATTGAGGCCTCGAAAGCGCATCGGAAGCGAAAAGGCGAGAAGGCAACATTCATCAATTTTCCATAGGTTTTGGAAGGATTTTGGCCTCTTGGGGGGCCCTGAGGGGGCTCCGAGACCATTTGGAACCGTCTTCTGGTCGGACATCTTGGAGGTATGTCGGAAGCTATCTTGAAGCAATTGTTGGCTATCTTGACCCATTTTGGAGGCCATTTTGTAGCATCGGAGGCCCTCTTGGGGTCATCTTGGGCCATCTTGGACGCTCTACCCCCTCCGTCCCCCTCCCCGAAAACCTCGGGGTTGGGGGGGGAGGGTACCCCTTTCCGAAGGCAAGAGGGCTTTGGAAGAGGAACACATGAACTCGGAACTCGTTAGACCACCGTAGCCCAAACGGGTTGGCGGGAATTCTGCTTGCCAGGCTTTTCGGCCCAACGTTGGCTTAGGAGGACCCGAGAGGGGCCCGAGAGCGCTTCCAGACAGCCCGTGACAGCCCCAAGAGCGCCCCTATGACGGCTCCAAGAGGGCCGCAAGATGACCCAAGAGGCGATCAAGGTGGGCAAAAACGCCCGAAGAGTTTCCCCAGTGGCCCAAGCGGGGCTCAACGTGCCGCCAATAGGGCTTCTGAGGCCCACGAGATGCCCATTCCTCCAAGAAGCCTCAAGACGCCACCGAGATGTCTCCCGAGGCCCAAGGCAGTCCAACGGAGCTCCCAAGATGACATGGCACGGGTGGGCCTCACAGCCTCCCACTGTGATCCCAAAGGCAAGCAAATCACGGAACTCAGCCAGTCGGTTCGGCGTCAGCTGGAGGTTTTGCAACGGCTCGGGGAGCACGTAGACCAGCACGTCAGCCAACATGATGGCCCAGCGTCATTCGGGCTCCGTGCCGATGCGGTCCGATCCACGGCACATTCCGATTCGATCATCATTCGACGCTAACTGCTCCTGCCAAGGCAGCGCCGCCTGCGATCCGAGTCGGTGGGACTCGATTCGCAGGTATCGGCCAGGGCCAGTCGGAGCCGTGCGCGGCGATCCGATGTCGATCCGATTCGGGGCGGTTCGTTAGCGACCGATCCGTTCTCGATTCGATCCGATTTCGCGGCTCGATCTGGCTCAGGTGGATTACCTCTACCTCAGGTGGCATGTGCGTGACGGTCCCGTCATGATCTTCCTCAGTCTCGGATACAGTTCGATTCCGATATTCCGAAGATCCGATGTTGCCCGAAGTTGTTTGCAAAACGCTGCTGTGAATCCTGGAGTAGCCGATCCGATTCGATTCCGACTCCGTGCCGAAACGATCAGATCCGGCGCAGGTTCCGATCCGATTGCCTCATCAGATGCTGACGGATCCTGCCCAGAACCGAGCAGGAGAGCCTCCAGAGGGTATCAAGGCCTCCCAGGGATCGCAAGGGCCCCACAAGGGGCCCAAGAGGTAGTATCAGAATATCTCTGGGGCTGGGGAGGGGACTCAGAGGGGGGCAGGAGAGGGACGCATACCCTGACAAACAATACTCTGGCAGTACTTACGGGACAGGTACGTGAGGCCCACAACTTGGAAGCACCCCCCGGGGCTGGCAGATCCAGCTACAAGCTCAATCCGCCGATCTCGAAGCCAACATGGGCGCGCTGGCCGACGCCTTCGCCTCCCTCGAGCTTCAACACGGACAAGCCACACACCAATTGGAAGAAGCCACTCAGGAGATGGCGGAGCTGCGCCACGCCTTCGACGCTGTCGAGCTCGAACGCCAGCAAGCCAGAGACCAGTTGGCAGAAATGAGCCAGGAGATGACAGAGCTGCGCGCTGTCTCTGACGCGGTCGAGCTCGAACGCCAGCAAGCCAGAGACAAGGTGACCCAGGACATGACGGAGCTGCGCGCTGCCTCTGACGCTGTTGAGCTCGAGCGCCAGCACGCCAGAGACCAGCTGGCAGAAGTGACCCAGGAAATGACGGAGCTGCACAACGTCGTTAATACCTTGACGCTCCATCGCGATCAAGCCATTCGCGACCTGGCTGCCGAAAAGGCTGCGCTCGATGAGGCGCGCGCGATGGTACGGCATGAACAGACTTTGGAGCATCTTCGCGAAGACGTTGCTCGCTTGAATCGCGAGAAGGAGCAATCGGAACAAAAGGTGGAGTTGTTGAACCGCGAGTCCCTGGATCTGCAGGCTTCCCTGGAGAAGGATCGGCAGCATAGCCGTGCACTGGAGAAGACGATGCAGGAAAGACGGTCCGAGATCGACCGTTTAAAAGATTTCGCGGATACACGGTGTCAGATGTTGTTGCAGCAAGTTCACCACATCGGCCAGGTGTATAACCTCAGCAATGTTACGAGGACAGACAAGTCCAGCGAAGACTCGTTACGACAGACAGGCTCGATTCCAGGACTGCTCGGAGACCGCGGCAAAAGTATAGTGGTTCCGGCTCAGGTGAATCACAGCAAGCTCAAGACCAGTGCTTTGTCCAGGTCCATGTTGCTCAATGTGTTCTGCGAATTGCCCCACAGAGGCGAGTACGTTCCTAAAGAAGAGCAGAGGCTAGAGCCTCAAAGTGCAGATTTCAAGTTCTTGGAGTTGTTATTCCAAAGTTCTTGTGACAGTCACCGCCTCCAATATAACTCTGAAGAGTGGTGTGAACCTCCGATGCTGAAGATTGCGGAGATCAGTACTGTTACGTTGGAACCGAAGCTGCTGCAGCAGTACAGCACAAATTTGGATCGCATCTGTAATCGCAAGAGGAGGTTTGCTGTTCCTGTGAATTTTGATCGGGCTCTTCGCCCTATCACACAGAAAGATGCCAGCGAGTATTTCCTCTTCCACGGGTGCCCCTGGGAAGCGGCGGATCAAATCTGCAAGGACGGGTTCCACTGGAAGTATGCTGGCACGAACACTGGTGCCATGTTCGGCCAGGGTATCTACTTCGCGGACCGCGCATCGAAATGTGACGGCTACTCCACCAAAGACCCCGACGGAATGAAGCGCATGGTCTTGGCGCGCGTAGCCCTTGGGAACAGCTTGCCGCGGTGGCGCAAGTGTACAGATTGTAAGACTGTGGGGGAAGATTATGATAGCATCTGTGCTGCCATCAGGGCCGACGACGGCAGTGTCGATCATCCCGAGTGCGTGATTTTTCAGCGTGTCCAGGCGTTGCCCTGCTTCAAGATCAAGTACAAGCACTCGGAACAGTGTAAATGTCACAACTGCCGTAGTGGCCGCTGAGGCGGCACTGGAGGGGGGAGGAGGAGGAGGAGGAGGAGGAGGAGGAGGAGGAGGAGGAGGAGGAGGAGGAGGAGGAGGAGGAGCTTGCGTACGTGCGTGGTGACCGCAACGGCGCAATATCCAGCTGCCTGCGGCAACTCCACGCCACCGTGCCAGCTCCGTTCTCTGGGTGGCGACACCTCCGACGGGCGCACGCAGAGGCCGTCATGTGCGACACCCCGTGCCCTGCAGGCGCGGGAGAGCCGTGGACGGGTGATGTGCGACGCGCTCTTCCGCGTCGCGACGGTGTGCGTCTCCTCGTCTTCGCTGTCGGGCTAGTCATCACGTCGTTCTCTTCTCGTCCTCCATCCTCCTTCTCGTCCTTGCCTTTCGTTTGGCTCTTACTAGGCCGTGTTCTGTCCGTCTGGCCTGCCTCACGGCCTGGTGGCGGCGTCTTCGCACGGAACGGCCGCCCAGGAGGCAGTAACATGTGAAGCCTGTCGTGTCTATTCCTTGAAGGATTCATGGAGATTATTGACGCTTCTGGTCCATCTTTGGACACTCTTGGTCTATGCCAGGCCCCTCTAGAGTCATCTTAGGGGCACTCTTGGGACTGCCCTGGGTCGTCTGGGGCGCTTCTTGGGGCCTGTATTTGATTTTCTTGGCTTCTCTTTCGCTTATGTGAAACCCGACTGAAGCCAGTTGAGCTGAGAAAGTTGGGAAATCAAACACTGTGAAAGCCCACTGCTTATCCTGATGCCTTTGGGTGAATACGCCCTACCTGGATGCCTCTTGTGGTCTTTTTGGCACCTCTTCTGGTGTTCTCGGACGCTACTCGGTGCTCTTCAGGGAACATAGCGCGGCCTTTGTGGCCTCGATAGCCTTCTGGCCCGACTTGGAAGCCCTTGGGATTCGTTGGGCAGCCCATGCCAGGAAGCCTGCGGTGAGGGGGGCGATGCGCAATTCACGCACCTGGATGTGACGAGATGGGGGGGGGCTTGGATGACTTACGGGAACCTCACAAGAAAGCACTTGGCATTCTGCCGCGCCTCGACGTGCCAGGGGGGCACGGTGGTGGGTAAATGTACGTAGCCAGCAGATGCCAGCTTGACGTGCCAGCCTCTCGCCGAGAGAAGGCTGCAGGAGGTTCGGTTCGTCTCACTGTGCATCCTCGTAACTCTTACTCTGGAGGGGCTGCGTGGGCCGAGCGGGGTGGATTATGGAAGCTTCTGCCGAGTGTCCGTGTCCTCTCTATCGCGTTCCAGTCGCGTGCCTGCCGCGTGTCCGTCGCGTGTCGTGTCCGCCGCGTTCGAGTCGTGTGTTCGCCGCCTGTCTGTCCGTCGCGTGTCTCTCGAGTGTCTCTCGAGCGTCTCTCGATTCTAAAGGAGGCTGGGGCAAAGGCGAGCGATAGTGAGCGTTTGTTCGCGGCCGTTTGTACTCAAGCGGCCGGCCGCCAAGATATGACTGTGCCTCATCGCGAGGCACACCATTTGCCATCGAGACCGAAAACATCTTCGCTTGACATGGCTCGTCGCTCCCGCGACTCATTCCTACCCTTGGGACTATCGTTATTACGGAACAAAAGAGTTGGATATGGACTTCGCCCTTGGCGAAAGTGCTGGTTGGGCCCCCCACCCCCTTCAAACTTGGTAGCGGAGCTGGCCTATGGTGGTCAGCTCCTGCTTTACTCCTCACCATCCACGGCACTATCTGGTTGACTACTGACATGGTGGAACATCACGTTGCAGTGGGTTTGCGCGGAGGAATATACATAACTACGCACAACCGCAAGGACACTTGCAGTGCTACCTCCGTTCTCGCGGAGGCCTTTTACATGAGTCCCACTTCCCTGCGCTACTACACTCCTGAAGTCAACCGTCCTACTCGAATAAGAAATTCTACACGCTTCGCGTATCCCCACCAGCCCGTCCAGAAATGAATCCCAGGGGAGTGGAGGTTATATGAGGGAAGCGGGGGGGGGCATGCAGAATAACAAACGGCGGGGTGAACCGCCATATACCCCAGGAGGGGGAGGATGTCGGAGGAGCCGTCGTCGTCGGAGTAGGAGGAGGAGGAAGAGGAGAAGCAGGAGGAGGAGCAGGAGCAGGAGGGGGAGGAGGAGGAGGAGGAGGAAGATAAGGAGGAGGAGATGGAGGACTGCGAGGACGAGGAGTACGAAACGGAGGAAAAGGAGAAGGAGAAGGAGAAGGAGGAGGAGGAGGAGGAGGAGGAGGAGGAGGAGGAGGAGGATGGGGATGAGGAGCAGGAGGGAGGAGGAATAACAATAGGAGGAGGATGAGGATGAGGAGGAGGGAGGAGGAGGAGGAGAGAGAGGAGGGGGAGAAGGAGGAGGAAGGAGGAGGGAACATAGGAGGAGGAGGAGGAGGGGGAGGAGGGAGGAGGGAGGAGGAGGAGGAGGAGGAGGACAATGGCGAGCTTGGGGGCCTCTTGGGCCGTTTTTGGGGCCCCTTGGCGGTCCCGGGGGCCTCTTGCGTATATCGGGGAGCCTTTGTGGCCTCTTGGGGGTCTCTTGGGGGCCTCTTGGAGGCCTCGAGGCCTCTTGGGGGCCTCTTGAGGCATCTTGGGGGCCTCTTGGGGCGCTCTTGGGGCGCTCTTGGGAGCCTTCGGGGCGCTCTTGGGGCCATCTTAGGGGAGATCAATCAAAGAAGGGGGGTCGTATATTAGCGCTGCCCGTCTAGAGTGCCTCGAATCGCCTCTGAGGCTTCTCTTGAGGCCCAAATTCTTCCAAAACCTATAGAAATCAATGTGTTGTATTTTTTTTTTCGATCTTGGAGCCGTCTTGGGCCATCTTGGGAGCCTTTTGGGGCCTCTTGGGGTCTCTTGGGGGCCTCTTGGAGGCCTCTTGGGGCCTTCTTGGGGCCTCTTGGGGCCCTCTTGGGGCGCTCTTGGGGCGCTTTTGGGACGCTCTTGGGAGCCTTCGGGGCGCTCTTGGGGCCATTTTGGAGGAGATCTATCAAAGAAGGGGGATCGTCTATTAGCGCTGCCCCCCTAGAGTGCCTCGAATCGCCTCTTGGGCCCTTCTTGAAGCCAAAATCCTTCCAAAAGCTAAGGGAAATCAATGTTTTGTGCTTTTTCGCTTTTTCGCTCTTGGAGCCGTCTTGGGCCATCTTGGGAGCCTCTTGGGGCCTCTTGGGGGTCTCTTGGGAGCTTCTTGAAGGCCTCTTGGGGGCCTCCTGGGGCCTCTTGGGGCGCTTTTGGGGCGCTCTTGGGGCCATGTTGGAGGAGATCTATCAAAGACGGGGGGTCGTATATTAGCCTTGCCCCTCTAGAGTGCCTCGAATCGCCTTTTGGGCCCCCCCAGAGGCCAAAATCCTTCCAAAACCTAAGGGAAATCAAGGTTTTGTGCTTTTTCGCTTTTTCGCTCTTGGAGCCGTCTTGGGCCATCTTGGATGTCCCAACGACCCGCGGAACCCCTCGTCCAGGTCGGTGGGGAGGGGTAAGGGGAGGGGTAAACCCCTCCCCGAAGGGAAAGAATGGGGTTGGCAGAGGAAACGCTCTAGACCACCTACGCCCTAAAGGGCTGGTGAGATTTTTTCTACGATACCATGCGTGGTAACATGCGGTGCCACATTGTGCCGCCTCCAGCCCCACGCAGGCTAACGACAACACACCACAAGCCCCAGCCATGAATGTCCGACCACGACCTAAGGGGCCACTGTATTGGTGTTGCCATCTTTGGCCTCCAGTGGGTCGCTATCGGGTGCGCTGTGGGACGCATGCAGCGTGCTGGAGGCGACGCGCGAACAACGGCCCCCCACTGGGACCCTGCTGGTCATGTACCTTTCCGCGAATTCGTTCGGGAGGCACACGCCTGGATCAACGTGGCCACAGACGCCATAACCCCCTCCCAACAGGCTGCGGCACTACAGCGCGGTCTGGGAGGGCTCGCACGGACCATGGCCATGAGAGTACCCCCGCAGTCATGAGCTTTGGCGTTAATATTGGTGGCCGTCACACCGATGGAGACACTTACGTGATTTTCCTACGCAGCACGCAGTTTGAACATCTAGAGGAGGAACGCCAAGTGAACTCGGGAACGGCTCTCGTCGACTTTCGAGTCCATGCGGGAGAACGGATCGACCAGACGCTAGCGCGCTTCGATATAGCCCGCTACGAGGCTGATACCGCAGGCTTCAATATCCCTAACTTCCAAATCCGAGCAGTCATCCTGTTCAGGGCTCTGGGAGTGGGGACGTCGCGTGCGCAACAACTATTACTGCCACTCAACCACCAAATGCCGAAGACCCAGCAGCAATTTGATTCCTTAATTGAACGCGTGAGGTCATGTGCTGACATGGCCGAGCGAACCCGTGGCAACATTGGTGGCATAGTTAGACATGGTCACCGTGCCGAAACCTCTCGTACTGAGACCAATGCAGGGCAATCTGCTACGAGCATCTGGAACGATGATCCACGACCAACCGAGGCCACCACCTTATTCGCCCAACATGGTGGCCAGCCTACGGGGTCGCAGGGCTCCTGGGCTCGATATCAGGGACCGTCGGCGACGGCGGCCCCTGCTCATGCCACTACCCTTGTCCATTCAGCGAGGCAGCCCGCCTCGTCTGACTTCGACTCTGACACCGGCGCCGACGCGTCATCAGATGACGAAGCTGCTGCCCTAGATTATCCCGACATGCCAATGTATCCCACAGAAGAACAACAGGCGCAATGGCTATTTCGAGGATGCCAGAAACACACTAGCCGTGTGAGATGTTTTATGAAGAAACCAGTTCGTAAGGTACGACGTACCATCCGACGGGCGCTCAGAGTGAAGGGTAAAGGGCCGAGGCGAGGGTAAAGGCAGACGACGGTGACTACATGACAGAGGTATGTTGGCATTCCTGGTATCCTTCGCTGGGCCGCGACGCGAAGAACCATTTCAAGGGGCAGGTGGAGGCCGTGGGCGCTCCTCAGGAAAGGGCAATGGACGTCGGGATAATCCGAAGGATGCCAAAGGCAAGACCATGGAATGTGATAGCTGCCATGGCACGCAACATTTCCGTCGTGAGTGCCCGCGAGGCGATGGGGGAGGCAAGGGTCCGTCGATGAATTTGGCTCAAACCGATTCGGACATGCAGTATGTCGGTTGGGGGGCGCCAGGAGACGAATCCGTAGACGCCCCCGCTGCCGCTGTCCATTTCATGGCCGCCATGTATCTAAGTGCCAGTGTGTCCCTCGAGAGATGCGCCGACGAGCTCTTCGAGGAAATCTACGTTGGCCACGGCGAGATCAACCTGGTGGACTGGTTGGGATTTTTTCTATCGCGGGGCAACCTGCGCAGATCGAGTTCGCCGAGGATTTCCACGTGCCCGCCGATTTAGACCGCGACGTGGCGGGGGCGCCCGCGGATTCTGAGGCTGCAATTCCAGCGACAGAGGAGGGGGTGCAATTGATGCTGCATCCGCAGGTCATTGGTAATGCGATATACAGAATC